CAAATCGATAACCCTTCCCTTCTGTGAGCATTGTGTTACAAGTAAGCAGCATCGGCTGAAGTTTAACATATCGAGTTCTAAAAGCAAGACTATTTTAGAACTGGTTCATTCTGATGTATGGCCAGCACAGTTACATCCATAGGAGGAGCAAAATGCTTTGTGTCCTTTATTGATAATTACTCTAAAAGATGTTAGGTGTACACTATCAAAACAAAGGCAGATGTGTTTGTAGTCTTTTAAGCTTACAAAGCACGAGCTGAGCTTGTGCTTGATGATAGATAATGGAGGAGAATACACAGACGATGAATTTCTTATATTCTGTAAGAAAGAAGGCATCAAAAGACAATTCAGTACTGCATATACTCCTCAACGAAATACAGTGACAAAGCGGATGAATAAAACTTTGTTAGAAATAACAAGAGCAATGTTGGAAAATGTAGATCTGGATGAACTTTTTTGGGCAGAAGCAATAAAATCGCCTGTTATGTGGTGCATAGAACTCCATAAACTACAATTGAGTTAAAGACACTGATGGAGATATGGACTGACAAGCCAGCTAATTATTCAAATTTCCATACCTTTGGAAGTCCACTGTATGTAATGCATAATGCCTAAGGAATTTTAAAGCTAGATTCAAATCCTAGAAGTGCATATTCTTGGTGTATGCTGAGGAGTAAAGGGGTATCTTATGGGATCCCACCACCCGCAAGGTTATAGTCAGCAGATAGGTTATCCTTGTAGAGAACAAACTACAAAGAGATGAGTAAGAAAGTAGTTCAAGGAAAATTTTTGAGACTGTATCTATTCAGATGGGAAATAATTCATATTTTTCTAAAGCAATGCTGAAGCATGATGTACAAGTATCAGTCGAGTCTAAGACTCCAGAAGTTTGATGGTCAACTCGTGTGAAAAGACCACCGACTTGACACTCGAAGTATGTTACGGAGAGTAAAGTCAACATATTGTCTTCTAACGAAGAATGGAGAGCCATCAACTTTCCATGAACCTATAAATAACACAGATACACCATTGTGGATGGTAACAATATAGGAAGAAATTTAAGCTCTCTATAAGAATAAGACTTAGGTACTTGTGTCACTACCATAAAAAAAAGACTGGTGAAAATAATTGGGTCTATAAGAGCAAGCGAAATAGTGAGATCAAGTGGTGTGATATCATGCTAGACTAGTAGTAAAAGAATATGCTCAGAACGAATGTATTCACTTTAATGAAATATTTTCTACTATAGTTCGACTTATAATAGTACTAGCTATGATTGCTATATTTGACTTACATGTAGATCAGCTAGATGTGAAAATAGCCTTTCTTTATGGAGATCTTGAAGAAGACACTTATATTCTCCAACCAGAAGGTTTTGAAGAAAAAGAAAAATAGAACATAGTTTGCAGGTTAAACAAATCCATGTACGGTTTAAAATAGGCGCCGAGGTGTTAGTACAAGAGATTTGATTCATTCATCATGAGTCTTCAATATAATAGACTTAATGCAAACCCCTATGCATACTTTCGGAAGTTTAGTAAAAATAAATTTATTATTTTATTGTTGTATGTTGATGATATTTTGATTGCAGGCCCCAATAAAGATCACATCAAAGAATTGAAGGCACAATTGGCTAGAGAATTTGAAATGAAAGATTTAGAATCTGCAAACAAGATTTTAGGGATGCAAATTCACTACGATAAAATTAATAGGAAGATTTGGCTTTCTTAGAAAAATTTTTAAAGAAAATCTTGTAGCACTTCAACATGCAAGACTGTAAGTCAATTTCCATCACACTTCCTGTTAATTTTAAGTTATCCTCCAGTATGAGTCTTAGCAGTGAAGAATGATGGAGATGTCTCAACTATCATATGTATTAGCAGTGAGAAGTTTAATGTTCGCTATGATTTATACGAGAACAGGCATTGCACAAAAAAATAGTAGTCAGTCAATACATGGCTAAGCTTGGTAAGGAGCATTGGAATGTTGTAAAGAGGGTTCTAAGATACATTAAAGGGACCTCAGATGTTGCATTATGTTATGGGGGATCAGACTTTATTATCAGTGGATGTGTTCATTCTGATTATGCTAGTGATCGTGATAAAAGCAAATCCAATACATGCCATGTGTTTGTACTTATTGGCGAAGCTGTAAGCTGGATTTTAAAACTATAGTCAGTTGTGACTACATCAACAACAGAAGTAGAATACGTAGTAACTACACAAGCTAATAAAGAGGCAGTATGGTTGAAAATGCTATTGGAGGAACTCGAACATGAAAAAAAATTGCTCTATTTTGTGACAGTCAATGCTTTGCATGATAAAAAAATCCAGGTTTTCATTCAAAGAGAAAACACATTCAAGTTCAGTATCATTTCGTTCGTGAGAAAGTGGAAGAAGGAACAGTGGATATGCAGAAAATTGACACAAAAAATAACCTAACAAATTTTTTTGACAATTAAAGGAAGTCAATACTGACAAATTTGTTTGGTGTCGATCATCCTGTAGTCTGACGGAGACGTAAACAACATGAAAATAGCAAAATACAGACTGGTATGAAGATATGATTGACTTTTAATCAAAATTTTAAGTTGGAGATTGTTGGATGGAGCCAAATGGAACCGCAACTCTTGACCAAAAAGATTTTGGCGCATGCCCGCATTGTTTTTGATAGGAAGGAACCGCATTACTTGACATACTAGAGTTAGGCACCGAAATATAAAGAAATTGCATAGCCGCATTTGTTGATAATATGGAACTGAGTTTGCCTATAAAATGATCAAAGTTCATTCTCACTTAAATCAATCCAATCTCCAAAATCATATAGAAAACTGAGAGAAATATAGAGAGAATTTCTCCTTGTATAAAAGAGATATTGCAACTCCTAAAATTTAATTTATTATGAATTTTCTACTCTTGCCCGTGGTTCTTACCCCAATTTATTTAGAGGGTTTTTCACGTCAAAATCTGTGCATCCAATTTATTATTTCCGCACTATATTAGCTGCAACCCTGCTCTATCTGGTCCCGATTTTCTTACATATAATTGACATAATGGTTAACATGTGAAAATACCATAGGAACATTTTAGAAAATACCATATGTTTAATATGCTTCTCTATCAAAGCATTGTATGTCGTTGTTGAACTGTTGTGGATTGCTTGATGTCCTCAAAAGTTTTCAGAGATAATAATGAGGTGAAAAAATGTCATGAGCTAAAAATCTCGATAAATTTAGCCTTCTCTAAATAGACAAGAAACAGGTGAACCAATCTTTAAGTGGCATTATTTTTCAATTCAACATGAATAGGCTTGAAGTTTATAACATAGCCTGTTAGCATGTACAATGGCTCATTTCTAGCTCTGTACTTAATCATGCCGCACGTTACTCTTATCTTCATTTTTAGTTTGTCTACTACTGTCAGTTAGCCCAGCAGGAGATCAACCAATTTCATGAAAGGAAATAAGCTTCTGCAGAACAAAGCAAAATATTCACACACAAAAAATTACCTCTTTAGATTTGTTTATGTATTCTTGTTTTCCGCAAATCATCGTTAGTTTTCTGACATTCTTCTCAATTTAGCAGAAATCAGGAAGTCTGCTAGGTCATTCAGCCGTGTAGCTGTTTTGCTCAGTCTGTGATTCTTTTGATAATTTTCTTTTGCTCAGTCTGTGATTCTTTTGATAATTTTCTTACTCTTTCTGTTCTTCGAGGGAAATCGATAAGAGAGATACTTATTTTACTCCTGAGCAAGAGATATTTATTTTTTACAGTATGGAGGCAGATACTGAAAATGCATCATAAAAACCCTTAGACCCCGTTTGGCAAAGGGTTAAGAAATAGGGATTAAGGAGAAGGATTAACATAGTTAGCCCATTATGATCATTTGTAGTGTTTGGGAATAACAAGGATTTTCACTATTTTCTTTATAATTAGAAGGGTTAACTCTTAATCATTCTAAATAGGAGTATTAGTAAACCTCTTATTTTGAGGGGTTAACTCATTTTAATCCCTCTAGAGGGGTTAGCTTAACCCTTCTATATTTTTTATGTTTGGCAAATTATGGAGGATTAACTCACTTTAACCCTTGTATAGAATTATTGTGTTTGGCGGGTTAAGAAGGGTTAAGTCTTCTTAACCCCTCACTTAACCTTTTGCCAAACGGTACCTAATATTATTTGACAAAGCCAAAATATTTCTAGTACTTTGGTGTGTGTGTGTATGCACTCTTCATTTTTTTCTGTAGGGGACGCCATTGATGTTGCTTTTAGTTGTGGTTCATTTCGTTTTTTTCATTCTAACTGGATGCAAATGAATGGGTTATTCTTGTGTTTCATGGGTTATCCATTTAATTTAATCTGTAATATCAGTGTCAACAATTAAAAATATCAATGCAATCAAAATATTGTGTGTAATTACCAACTTTAGATTACTTATAGGGACATTACTTACATTTTTCTTCCTGCTGCATGATTTTCTAAGGAGGCTTCACCACAGGATTAATTTAATCTGTGTTTTCTCCCCCTTTTTACAAAACCCAATGGGCTTTATTAATTGGAGAAAAGTTCTTATATTACTTTAAGATGGACTAATAAGTGTGAGTGCATATAGATGGAACGGTATACACTTAAGTGGAACTAGTACTTAAAACGGACATGAGATCTATACATCCAACTGTTTAACCTTTGAATGAACTTGGTAGATTATTTGCTAAACTTACCTCACCTTCAATAAATGATGACAACTCATTTCTCATGATATCTTGATCTATTAAGTCCACCAAAAGGTTTAAAAATTGGAGTGATAAAACCTCATATTACTCGAAGCGGACATTAGCTCAACTCTCTGTCTTTTGTGCGCACGCACATTTAAACGGAGTACATGCATACCGAAATAGCCACAATATGAGGAGTTGCATACAAAAGAAATCCAAAAAAGACCAAATACAACAACTGCAACTAACACCAATGCCAACATGTTAACCATTTCAGACCACAAACTCTGCATGAATAATTCTTGTGATGATCTACTCACCCTTTCTATTTATGCCACTCTATTTCAACCAGATATTGCCCTCCTGAAGTGGGAGGTAAAAGTAGTGTACAGATTAGTACAAATTGAATAAAAAGTACCAGCTCATTGAGAAAAAAGAGAATTCACATGATTCAATAGGTTGATTTGTGAGCTTCGCTGCCTTTTTGCACCTAACTCAGTTCCCCTCTTGACACCTGCATCCATCCACACCAACATCCGTTACCCTGATTCTGGGCTGATGTGTTTCACTTTTAGAGAAAAGCTTTCATCTCCATTTCTTAAGGTTGAGCTTCCATCTTCAACTTCACTATTGCTCCACAAACATTGTGGCTGGTTTATTTGGGTAAGTCCTCCCTGTGAATAAAAAATAGATATTATCAATATGAAACGGAAAAAAAAATGTTAAACTTTGAAATTGCTTGAAAAATTTGTGTGCATGGTTTCTATCTCATCTTATGTAGCTGTAGAACTTGGAAAAGTACTAGTAATACTAATCATCAACGACATTATGCAGGGAGTTCAGGAAAAAAAGAATGACTAGCACTGCGGTCTTAGCACTCTACATCACAATTTGTTGTGTCGTATTCATTATATCGAAGATTATAATCTCGGTGCTCCTATATAAAAGATGGGCAAGGAAGCGAAGGTTTGTTGAGGAGAGTCTATCAGGTTTGTTTCTACTTAAAAGAGTAAACACAAACTACTTTTTGACATCATTGAAGACGATTCAATTTTATAAACAGGTGGAAAGATCGTGATGTTTCGGTCTACAATAACACAATCTCTCAGTTCAAAAGCTTTCATGAAGAAGACGATGAAGCTAACCAACAAGGATATCATTGGCTCCGGAGGATATGGCACAGTGTATCGGCTGGTCATTGATGAATCACTTACGTTTGCAGTAAAGAGACTAAACAAGGGACATATAGAAAGGGATAGAGGATTTGAAAGAGAGCTAAATACTATGGGTGACATAAAGCACAGAAACATAGTTACCCTTCATGGATACTATGTTGCACCTCAGTTTAATCTTCTGATTTATGAGTTGATGCCTAATGGAAGCTTGGATGGATTCCTCCATAGTAATTAATATACATCAAACTGCATTTTTTTTCCCATCTAATTTTGAAGTTCAACATTTTATTAAGTTTTTTGTATGTAGGAAAATGGAGTGATGAGAAACCTCTGGATTGGCAAACAAGGTACAAAATTGCGTTAGGATCAGCTCGGGGTATAGCATATCTCCATCATGATTGTATCCCTCATATAATCCACCGGGATATTAAATCGAGTAACATACTTCTCGATCAAAACATGGAGGCTCGGGTATCTGATTTTGGACTGGCAACATTAATGGAACCAGAGCAGACTCATGTTTCTACAATTGTTGCGGGAACATTTGGTTACCTAGCTCCTGGTAAAGCTAATATATACAGAAAAAAAAGTAGATAGTTTTCAAGCTCATTATGATCATTATGACAGTTCCTTTTTTTCGCATTCTTTATTTTGCAGAATATTTTGATACGGGGAAAGCAACAACAAAAGGAGACGTATACAGCTTCGGTGTGGTTCTGCTTGAACTTTTAACTGGAAAGCGACCAACAGATGAATCATTTATCGAGGAAGGAACGAAACTAGTCACCTGGGTAATTCATTGAAAACTGACTGTAGATAAGAACAATAGTCAATAGACAATATGTTTAGTGTTATTTTTCCAGTACAGAAATATTCCATCAAGGATTAGCATACATAATAACTAAATTTTAACACATCAAAATGTGCCTCTAACAACATTAATTCACTATTGAGCATCTGTGTTTTCCTCCGGTAGTAATCCTTGTCCTACTAAGATGACGAAATAGCCTGTTTGTATGTTGTAATTGTGTGATATTCTAATGTCAGACTATATCATAGCATAGTAAGTCTATAGTATTTTTTCTTTTCTTTTATTTTTTAGTCTTAATCATTACATGAAATAGCCGACTAAAATATGAACCTTAAAATGAATAATAGATGAAGTACTATATAAAATTGCTGAAATGTGTTCTGACATAAACCATAACAAAACTTGGGGAAATTTCAAACCAATTAAATTAAGCAGGATGACGTTTGTATGATCAAGACGTCAATGTGTGTTTATATCAACAAACTACATATGGCACCTACTGAACCAAGCTTCTTTAAGTATCCCAAGTATAAAACGAAAGAATCATTAATACTGGGACTGAACATATCTACAACATCATCGAATTAAGAGAAATACACTTCGATAATGCCAGAGAAAAACACAAATTATACAGCTCAACAGGTATTGAGTTTGAACTAGTTTTATTGTAGCTTCTAGTAGTGTAGATGAGTATGAATAATGAAATGGTATATGAATAACAAAATGATGCGTGCCAGTCAATGTTTTGTCTTTATTCAACGTTTTCTAAGTATCCAGAACTCATATTAACCATAACACAAGTTTTCTCTAAAGAAAAAAATAGACCAAATATTATGACCTATGAGCCTGACATCAATCCCCTAAATTAATAATGAATAAATGGCCAAGGAAATTATAGAAAAAAAACTATATTAACGCTTTCCATAATTTCTGATGTGCAACTTTTGTCTGTGATGAATTCATGTTTAGCCTTTATGATTTAAGCATGTAATAAAACGAAACACTTCAAATTTCTCCAAGTGAAAGAAATAGTCCAGAAAAAATACAAATATAAATGGATTTATTAGTAATAGGGAATCATATTCAACTTGCTGAAGTAATAAAGTGAAGTAGAGATTTGAACGAGCAAGATCAAATTTCCGCAATGGGCACTTGAGAATACATACTTATTTAATAAATTGTATCTAAATTATAACTAAATATCTCTACAGGATCGCTCTGCCAACTGAAGCTCACTACATATTATCACTTAACAATAAAAATCTCAGCTTTACATTTTCATCTCTTTCTACATAGAGTCTACCATTGCATTTTAATATATTCTCAGTCTATTTTCTCTATGTTTTTTTTCACTCTTATCACATGTAATATGAACTCAGTAAATGCATTACAGGTGAAAGGAGTTGTTGAAGATAAGAGGGAAGAAAACGCGATTGACAGAAATCTTGTGCTTTTTCCAGTTGATGAAGTCAAAAAGGTATTTGCAGTTGCAGAAAAATGCCTAGAACCAGATCCATCAAAGAGACCAGACATGGCTGGGGTTGTAAAGATGTTGGAGGAAATAACTCCATACAAAGTATAGCTAAGATGCTCGAGGAAATAACTCCTTACAAAGTATAGCTATTATTTGTATATCTTATTTCTCTAGTCTATAGAATAGTTTCATTAGTCAAATTCATCAGAAAATTCTTTCGTGCCTTGCAAAAAATCACTATTCAAATTGCAACATATAGTGGTCTATGTACATCATCACCATGTAAAATTGCTGTCCTATAAGATGGTCTTAAATGATGAGCACACTCTTGTAAATGAAGACTCGAGGTACAATTTCAGAACAAAGCACCATATTTTTCATGGAATTAAATTTATCTATCTCATAGATTTTATTTTTCTCAGTCTGGTGGTTGTTTCACAAGAGAATACAATAAAACATTATGAAACCCTAACAAAAGTATAAGGGGAACACCCAACATAATACACAATAAAACAGCTTTAAGTATGGTTTGTAATCAAATACAAATACAAGACAACTCATGGAAATCAAATTCTGAACAGGGATTAAGATCTCAATCTTAACAAAGAAAATAGTAGACACCAACTATTTTGCCAATTCTCATGATATTGCTACTATTTATTGTTAGAGCATGATTATGATTCTCCTACGCCATCCTTAGCTGTGTAACTCAAAGGAAAGCTACGGCCTTGAGAACCATGGCTTGGCTTATTCCCAACTCAGCTTACTATTTCTATCACAAGGTACAGATTGCACCCTTCAATTCAGATCCCATGTACTCAGCCAATCAATCAATGAGAACACTCATGATGGATAATATTAAGGTCCCAACATAATCAATCAGATGTAACCATACTCTAAACTATCATGAACAGCATCCAAAATTCATGACAGTTCAGGTGATACAAAGACAGTTCCCATATTAACTTCCTCTTTAGGATGGTCCCCATTGAAAAAATGATTCATCACTGTCTCCTCATGATGCAAAACTGAATTTCTATTTCGGGTGTAATAACCCTAAAGTTTCACTTAATAAGAAAATATAATAAAATTGAAGTATTTGTAGTACTTGTTTAATGTACTGATTTAAGTATATATTAAACCAAGAAATAGTATATCACAGAAGACCTTTTATGCATACAATGGTTGTATCTATAATTGCATATACATGATATTATAGATAATATGATTGTATGCATAACAGGCGTTTTATAATATACAATTTCCTAGTTTAATACATACTTAAACCAGTACAATAAATAAGTACACAAATACTTGAATTCTATTATATTTTCTTACTAAGTGAAATTTTCGGGTTATTACACGGGTCTTTGAAAACTTTGACGAGTCTAGGAATATTCTACAACCTGCCTTTTCCCAATACTAGAACAAGCATGATTTACCTTGACAGAAGACCCATCTAATTTTATAGACCCATCTAAGTTTTTCTTTTCTTTTATTTTTTTTTTTACTCTTAAAACTAACACCACCATGGTTTAACCATCCTCAAACTCTTTTGGGTCAACCATCTGCAACGAAATAAGGCCACTTTCACTTTATCAGGTAGGCTACCAATGTTTTAAGATGTAAATTAGATATCTTACGATATAGAAATATACAAAAATATTTTTATGTAGCCATTGCATAAGAAATATGATGTCATTAAAATAGAAGTAAAATGTTGATATAAAAATAATGACAGCAGTCAGTATACATTTTTTTCATTCAAGGCCGTACTTAACAATCCATTTTTTTCAGTAAAAAAATCTATAGCTTGTGTTTCTTATTGAATTATCTATTTTGATCTTAGGCAAGACAAATCATAAATAAAATAGCCACAATATTTACACTAGTGGTGTATCCTTCACTCATAGTTGTCAAATCCCTTTTATTATCCCTGTTAAAATTTGGAGAGAAAAGAGTTTCTTGGGAGAGTTTTCCCTCACTCTATACTTTATTATTTATAAAGATGGATTAGTTATAAATTAGTCTCACAGGCAATGTGAAACTAAACTAATGTTAAACTAATACTCATGCTCTCTTCTAACACTCCCCCTCAAACTGGAGCATATATATCATGCATGCCAAGCTTGTCACAAATAAAGTCAACCCGTGTTCGATCAAATGGTTTTGTAAGAATGTTTACCAACTGATGTACTGTCGATACATGTTTTGCCGTGATGATTTTATCCTCGAGCTTCTTGCGGATTACATGACAATCGACTTCAATGTGCTTGGTTCTCTCACGAAACACGTGATTCTCAGTAATGTGAACTGCTGCTTTATTGTCACCATATAGACTCATCGAACATTGTGGAGGGAGATCAATCTCTGTTAATAGATCTCTGATCCAAACCATCTCTAGTGTCACATCTGCCATAGCTCTGTATTTTTCTTCTGCACTGGATCGAAACATAACACTTTGCTTCTTACTCTTCCATGATATCAGATTTCCTCCGAGAAAGACATAATATCCAGTAGTCAATCTCCTATCAAAAGGACATCCAGCCCAATCTGCATCAGAGAAGTCTGCAACTCTGGTGTGTCATTAATCTAAGTAGAAAATTCCTTATCCTGGTATCTTTTTTAATTACCTCAAAATTCTCATTACTGCATTTAAGTGAGTAGTTCTTGGTGCGGACAAGAACTGACTCACAACACTGACTGCGAATGTGATGTCAGGTCTGATCACCGTCAGATAATCCAGTTTTCCCACCAATCTCCTATACTGCCCAACATCCTCAAGAAGCTTCTCCTGGTCTGGTAGTAGTTTTGAGTTTACATCCATTAGAGAATTATTGTTTCTGCATCCTAACATCCCGACTTCTAAGAGCATGTTCAGGACATACTTCCTTTGTGATAGAAGAATATCATTTGTTGACTTTGCAACTTTAATTCCTAGAAAGTATTTTAGGAAACCAAGATCTTTGGTTTGAAAATGTGTCTGTAAAAACTTCTTCAGGCTGTTAATACTAGAAGCATCATCCCTTGTAATTATAATGTCATCCACATAGACAACTAACAGAATTCGTTTCCCATTCTGAAATCGCCAGAAGATAGAGTGATCTTTTTATGCACGATAAAGCCCAAATTCCTGAAGAACCGATGCAAATCATCCAAACCAGGCTCTCGGAGGCTGCTTCAGACTATAGAGTGATTTCTTCAGCCTACACACATTCGTATTCTCCCCCTGAGCAACAAAACCTGGTGGTTGCTCCATATAAACCTCCTCATCTAAAATACCATTAAAAAATACATTCTTCATGTCCAACTGATGAAGTGGTCAGTGGTTTGTCGCTGCTAACGAAACAAAAATCCGAACATATGTTATTTTTACTACCGGAGAGAAAGTATCTACGTAATCCAAGTCATACACTTGTGAATAGCCTTTAGCAACCAGTCGGGCTTTCAGGCTTGTCAAAGTTCCATCAGGATTCAACTTGACAGTGTACACCCACTTGCAGTCGACAGGCCGTTTTCCTGGTGAAAGTGGGACCAAATCCCGAATCTCATTCTACTGCAAGGCCCTTCTTTCGTCCTGCATCGCTTGGTTCTAACCTGGAATAGACAGGGCTTATGACACATTCTTAGGAACTAAATATGAGTCGAGGACAGTAACAAAAGATCGAAAGGTAGAGGATAGGCGATCATAGGAGACAAAGTTAGAAATAAGATATTGAGTATAATAAGTTCATGTCCCTTTTCAAAGTGCAATAGGAAAGTCTTCCGTGGAAGGGGTAAATTTATACTTACTGATTTAGCTTCTTCAGGCGAAGGACGTGATATTGAGGCCGACGTTGGCACAGGAGCAGGAGCAGAGCAATAATAATAAACTTGAATTAGGTCGTTAAACTTAGCCGAGTCTTTGCCAGTAGCGTAAATAGTATTATCAGCAAATAAACCACCACCATTAACCAATGACTTGCAGGATTAAATAGTTATACTTATCCGATGATAATGAAGATGGAGAACTAGAATGACTGAGTTTATCTTCAAAAAATATTACATCAGCAAATAACACAAAACGATTGAGTGACGGATAGAAACACTTGTAACATTTATGCTTTCGGGAGTAGTCAAGAAAAATACCTTTAGTAAACCGAGAGTCAAACTTTTATTTATTTGGACTATGATTATAAACAAAGCACTGAAAGCCAAAAATCTTTGGAGGAAGCAGAAAGAGATCATCGTTGGGTATAGAACTTTGAAAGAAATTTTATCTTGTAGAACAGAAGAGAGCATTTGATTAATCAAGTAGCATGCTGTTAAGATAGCTTTTTGGGAACGCGATGATGGAATAGCAAGGTCCGAGCAATATTAAGGAGATGCCTATTCTTTCGTTCAGCAACTCTGTTTTGCTGAGAAGTGTAAACACATGAAGACTGATGAAGGATTCCATATTGTTTAAGGAAACTAGTGAAGTTGTCATCCAAATATTCCTTTGCATTATCAGATCAAAATTTTTTTATTGCAGTCTTGAATTGATTGACTATTTCAGAATAAAAGACTTTAAAAGTAGAAAAGACTTCAGACCTAGACTTGAGAAGATAAATCCAAGTAACACGAGAGTAATCATCCACAAAACTGACAAAGTATCGGAATCCCAATTTAAAAGTTATTAGGCATATGGCCCCCAGACATTAGAATGAACAAGATCAAATGGCTTAGCAGCCCTCTTATTGACTAGATTAGGATAAGACACACAATGGTGTTTGCCAAGTTGACACGACTTACTCTAATGAGGGAAGAGATTTGAACTGAAGATTTAGAAGCTTGAGAACAGAGAGAGGGATGCTCTAGCTGACAGTGGTATTGTAGAGCTGATGAGTTTTCGATACAAGCTAAATGTTTGGCGTCCAAATTCAGTCTATAATGGTCGTTCTGCTCATGTCTCATCTCAATCGTTTTCCACATGATCAGGTCCTGAAAGACAATGTGTGGGAAAAAATATCACAGTATAATTTAGTAATTTAATAATCTTACTAACAGATAAAATGTTATAGGAAAAACTAGGAAGATAGAATACGGAGGAAAGAGGAAGACTCGGGTAGGATTGGTGTTGCCGACATCCTGAACATGTGTACATGAACCATCAGCTAATATAACTGAATTACATGTAGGAGAGAAAGTGATGCGGACATCCAGACACGTGTACAGGATTTTCGACATGTTTATCAGCGTAGAAGACACTGTGTTTCAACTTTGCATCGGATCCCTACTATGTGGTTTTGATTTTTAGTTTAGTAGTTAATTCAGTTTTATTTAGTTTAGATTTGAATTTGAATTGTGATTTGATTTGGTAATTAGTCAGTTTTAGGCATTTGAGTGATTTTAGGGATTTCAAAATTTGTTTGAGTGATTTCAGGGATTCCAAATCAGTATTTCCTTTTTCTTTTTAAGCATCACTGTAATGAGAATGAGGTAATGAAGATTTTGAAAATTATTTGCAAATTATCTGATTGCTTGAGCGTGTGAAACGCGGGTGTGAAACCCTAGCCCGCTTCCCCCTGTTCTCCGCCTCCACAAGCTGTTAGTCGTCGCCTCTGTCTCCTTCTCCATGACCACGCTCAACCCCCTGCTTCCCCTCCCCTTCAAGCAACCACGTCTCATCCCCTGCTCTCCTCACCTTCGAGTAGCCG